CCGGTGGATTATTAGCTTTATTATTTTTCTAGGGGTAATTGGTACTTTGCACCCTTAAATTTGTTGTCATTGGCACTTTGCACTCTTAAATTGAAACAATAGCATTTTGCACCCTCCAATTACAGTTTACTTGGCACTTTGCACCCTATTACACATTTTGGCAAGAAGATTGACCTACAACCGGTTTTGTGGGTTTCAACAGGGCAATTTTTTTCTTTCCTAAGTCTCACAAACTTAAATATCGTTCTTCTACTTTTCTTCATCAGTAATTATGTCATCCGATTTACTCAATCAAATCGTAACTTTTTGAGCGGGTGATCAAATAGGGTTAGTTTGTAATGGTTTTTTCGTATATTAAGAGACTGTGTGAATTGTAATATAGTATACAAGTTGGCAATTTTGTGCATAATATTGACGTATTTGTGTTAAAAAAATTGTGATTATGGGTAGTGGTCGGTGGTAGTGATGTGCGTGTGTGTGTGTTTTATTATTTTAGTTTGAGAAAATTAGTTAGATTTGTGTATTTATTGTTTATTTTAATGAGTTGTTTAGCAATGAAAATGAAAAAAAATAGTGTTTTTTTTATTTATTATTGTTTCTAAATTTGAAAATACAAAATTCATAGTTTACTTTCTTTATTCTGATGGTTTTTTCCAAGCTCGAAACTCGACACAACTCTAAAACTAGGAGAAAAGGGGACGATTGAATTGAATAAATGGATACATGAAGAAGAAAGATAAGAAAATGATGTTTAGTTTTGTGAGAAATAAGAAAAAAAAGAAAAAATTGCCCCTCTCGATACCCATAAAACCGGTTGTAAGTCAGATTTTTAGTCAAAAAGTATAGTAGGGTGCAAAGTGCTATTTTTTCAATTTAAGGGTGCAAAGTGCCAATAGCATCTAATTTAAGGGTGCAAAATGCCAATTACCTTTTTTCTAGAGGATAAATTGCTTCTACTTTTTCACCTAATAATCGGGCGGGTTGAATCAGAATTAACACTTACGAAAATTTTCAAACTTCATGGAAAAAAATGGAAATCGGATATCAAATGAAAATTTGATATCCGATTTTTCCAAATTCAAATGGAAATTTGGGGTATTTAGAATTTTGAAAGAATATTTTAATTTTTTTTGGTAAAATTAAAATATGGCCGGAATTTGAAATCTAATATGTACTCAAATTTTGTTCAGTAAATTCGAAAAAAATAGAAATGAGAACTTTCGAAATTAGGAAGAAAATACATATGTAACAAAATCAAAGATATCCACAGCATAATCGACTAAGTTTCGGACATTCCGGTTCTATTTGGCCCTTTGATACTAGTTCCTTCGATGCCCACCCGTGTTTTCAGGTGCCAGTTATTATCGCAGGGGGCCCGGCGGCTTTTTTTTTTTTTTTTTTTTTTTTTTTTTTTTTTTTTTTTC